TTTCCTGAATTTGCAGGCATTTAGGGGAGTGAACAGTAGATGGAAGGTATTTCTCTATCTCTCTCACCCCAGCACCACCACCTCCCTCTCCCTTTTCTTCCCACTGTTCATCCCTCGGCCTCTTCACTGTAATGCTGCTTTTCAATAAAATTGTTTTTTTTTTTTTTTTCTAAAGAAGGACAGGTGCTGACATCGTGGGACCCTGGGTAAAGCCATCAGTAGACAGCGGCTTCCATGTCAGAGTGCCTGGTTCAATGACCCAGCTGTTCTAAGCCATATTTCCTGTAGTAATGGAGGCAACAGATGGCTTAAGCTGTTGGATTCCTTACTTCAGCTGGTTTAGCCTGGCTGCCGAAGGCATTTGAGACATGAATCAGACGGAACATCTCTGTGTGTTTCATTCTATGTAGCTCTCCCCTCTCTTACTGTTGCCTTGCAGATAAATAAACAATCGCTTTAAAAATTGGTAAACTTTGGTTCTGGCACTGTGGTACAGTGGGCAATGCCTCCACCTACAGTGCCTGCTTCCCATGTGGACTCTGGTTCAAGACCTGGCTGTTCCTCTTCTGATCCGGCTCTCTACTATAGCTTGTGAAAAGCAGTCTACTTCATATATAACTAAAGAGAGATGAGAGAGAGAGAGAGGAGAGAGAGAGATACAAGGGTAAAACATCAGGCACACCCAATATGAGATGTAATATATTATAACACTGCAATTAAAAAATCCAAGCGATAGAGAAAAAAATTCAATGGTATGGGCTAACAGGATATTTGCAATAACATTCCATGTTGGGGTGAGAATGCTTTTGAACTACAGAATGCCAAGATCCAGTCTTCAGGAAGAATTCTATTAGAAATCTAGTATTCAACTTGAGTATAATAACTGACACAGGCATGAATGGTTAACGCATGGTAAAACTGTTAAAGGAAGGCCATTTTCAAACAGGATATTTATACATCTTCCAAGCAGCACTCTCCAAAGTTTTTTATTTCAACTCTGAAATTTTATTATCCAAAGTGTATGATTTTTATACAGAACAAAAGTAAAAGCAGGTATCAACATCAGCAAAGAGTTTGTAGAATTTCTGCAGCAGATTTTCACCGAAGTTAGGGATGGTGGAAGTGGTATCCAAGGTAAAACCTAGATGACTGCTGATTTGTCTCTTGGCATAAATTACCTGGCAGTTTGTTCTGGAGGTACTGAATAACTTGTCATCATCAGTGGTCAGTTGTTTAAACCAATTGGAGTTGTCAAACAAAGCAAAAAACAAATGTTTTTTTTTTGTTGTTGTTGCATTGTGGCATTTTACTGAAGCGGCATTTATTTTTTTTCTTCTTAGTAATTTCTTCTTGTTTGAAATTTTTTCATTTCTTTTAAGCATTTTCTTATTTAGAAAAATAACTAACTGAAATGGCATTGTACGTTGTTTCCTTAGTATTGCTTTTTTGTTTGAAGTTTTAAACTTTTGCAAAGTTGTTAAATTGTAATTATTTGGCAATTTTCTCAGTTAAATGAAACAGTGAATAGGAATGACATTTTACACTTATTCTGAATAATTGTTTTTCTCTTTTGTCCATTTGTAAAGTATAATCAGTTTTAAATTTAAAATTTTTTAGCATTTTTGGTATTTACAAAAACACTGAACTGAAATGGAATTTTACTTTTTTTGCTGAGTTTAAATTTTAAAAAAAAATTTAATTTTTATATATATCTTACTTTTTCCTATTTAAAAAGTTACTAAAATGAAGTGGCATTTTAATTTTCCTATTAGTATTTTCCTATTTTTTGTTTTTTTACTGTTTTTAAAGTTTTTAACATTTTTAATTTTAATTTTTCAGTCTTTTACTTTCAAAACCACTTAAATGACATTTTTCTAATTTTTTCTTTTTAAATTTTTAACAGTTTTTAAATTTTATTTTTTTAAATCTTTTTCCTTTTTAAAAAACAATGCAGTACCATTTTCTTTTCTATTTTCATTTAAATTTTTTTTTTACTTTTTAATTTTTTTATTTTTTTTGGAATTTTTCTTTTTAAAAACACTTAACTAAAACAGGGAATACATATTGGGTTCTGAATCAAAATTTTTGAGATTCCAGTTACACTCCTGGACACTGGAGACACTTCTGGGCCTGGACAGCGATATCTTAATGAGAAGTTGTAGATTTTAGGAGCCCAAGATGTGCCTGACAGGATGTCTAAGGCAGCTGTTACACTGAGAGAGGCACACTCAGGTGGAACATAATTCCCTCCCTAGGATCCCAATTTCATGAAAGGAAAACAATTGTGTCATCACAGGTATGACAACAGTGGAAGTAAGAATGGTAGCTGTGAGAAACAGGTCCACCACAGGGCAGCGGTGCCATTGGCTCGGTTTGTTCATTGACCAGGAACAACTACTAAGCAGTGGGCATCCAGAATCTGCGAGGACTCGGTTTTCCATGTCGGGGTGGGGACAGGCATATGGCCGCCTCCTCGTCCAGCAGCTGCCTCAGGGCCGGCAGGAACACGGCCTTGCTGTTTGCTGGGGCTCTGGATGCCTTGGCCCACGTCCTGCATCAGGAGCCCCCAGTTCTCCTGCAACACTGAGTGGAGTTGGCAGGACCAGCAGCTGTAGGAGATAGGTCCCCATGACAGGTCCTGCCCGCATCTGTGCCTGACTCTGGACGTGGAGAGAGGAGTGTTCAGAGAGGTGTCTGGTTCCTTGATGCAGGCTCAGTCCACCTCGACCCACCTGGCCCCTTCTGGCCACACTGCTGCATTCATCACCATGAACTTGCTGTTATCACGCCCATCGACAGCCACCTCCTGGGTTGATGACTGGACCTCCGCCAGGGCTGCTGCTCACTCCCTTTTTGCTCAGGTTCTGAGGGGTCACCCTCTCCACAGTTGTTAGGATACAGAGGAAGGAGCACATCTTTAGGATGTACAGATCAACAGACAGCTTTCACCAACTGACCGATGCCAGGGTCAGGGGACCTGATGGGCACACAAGATGTTCTCTGCCTCCTGCGGGGGTGTGGGAGGGAGCACACGGCACTCCCTGCATCAGGGTGCTTGGCCAAAGAGTGAGGCTGAGTGTAAAATTGAGGAAAGCATCAGAGATCCTCAGGATGCAGACCCCGAGCCAGACACCTGGCCTGCGCCTTCACACAGTCAGCGTTCCATCATGGAAGACAGCAGAAGGGGGAGATGGTTGGGGTTCAAAGGAGGAAAGAGGACCCTTCCTGTCCTTTGGAGCCCCAAAGTCTCCTCTCCTGCTGTCCTCTATGCGGAATGCTGGCTGTGTGAAGGGAGAGGGCCAGCTGTCTGGGTCAGGGTCCACGTCCTGCAGAGTCAGATCCTCTCCTCTGCTCACATGCAGCCTGTGTGCCAGGGGCGCTGTGTCTCTGACACTGCCCACACTGAGCTCGCCCCATCCAAAGGCAGTGTGTGCCCAGAGTCCTATGCTGTTTGCTTCCAGCTCCTCCTGACCTAAGATCTCTACAGGAGGCAGTTGGAGAGGAGCCGGTGGTGTTCTCTCCAGAGCAGCTGTGGAGTCAGGCCTGGGTCTCCTTAGGTGTTCACATCGGATTGGAGGTGGAAGACTGTGCCAGCTCTCAGGGAAGCAGCCTAGTGGATAAAAATAGCCGAGGGCAGTTCATGGTGTTGAAATTGCGTTCTTGGTGTTCTGGTTGCTGTTGAAGTGGAGCTCCTGTGGTAGATGTTTGGAAGAGGTGGGGATGTTACAATCAGCAATACTGTTCTGTCCTTCCAACTGTACTTGGGATCTGAAAGAGGGAGAGAAGAAAAATCAAAGGAGAGCTGGGTGGGGTCCAGGGGAGAGCTGAGCCTGCATCTGGGCCTCAGTGGGGCAGAGGCCAGGCAAACTCATTCCAGTGGGGAGACTGGCTAAAGGGGAGCCCTGGGCTGCTGAGAGGGAAGTGGCAGCCAAATGAGCAGATTCCTGCCCTGAACTCCAGCCCAGCTCTGCAGTGCTGGGGAACCAGGGCCCTTGGACCTCTCCTAACCAGGAGTGGGTGATGTCACCCCAATTCCTCCTGCTCTCTGGTGCATTAGAAATGGATTAGTTTTCTGCAGTAAGCAAAGAGAGCCGGGAGTGTAACACAGCACAACTCATGTCAATAGAACAGACACCAAGTTTCTCTGAAGATGATTCCACATCTAGTTACACCTAGGACCATTCTGCTGTGTGCCTAATAGCTCACTCACTCGACTCTGAAGGGAACATTAACTTTAAAACAGGCACTCTTTAGTCATCCTAGAGTTTCCCCATTTTTTTCAGTTCCCCTAAGAAATTTTCTTTTTGAGAATATCCTGTTTGTATACCGGTCAGAGGGAAGGACAAACATTGGAGAATGAGACCTAAGAATCCGCATTGGAAATTGGCCTAGGACAAGATTAGATAAAATGTGATTGTTCAATGTATATTTCTCAACCCAATAGAGGGCTTGCAATCAAGTGAGTGGATGGATGAAAAGCATGTTTTAGGGAGAGAAGTTCAACTGTAAACATTTTAACTTGATTATGAGGGGAGGTATTCTATTTTGTGGGTCAGGTTTCTACATGACAAGGATTTCTTACTGTATCTTCTATTTCCAATTATTGATCCAAACAGAGAGGTTACAGTTCTACCCTATCTGAACAAACAGAAATGAGCTATAATATGTTCCCAGTGTAAGAAGGAACAAGTACATCTAAGACACACACACAGGATTACCTCTGTCTAGGCGTTGAAGGCCCAGGAATCTGAAGGTCAGTGCCCACATGTTGGATCTGTGGTTTTTCCTTCATCTCCTGGTCAGGGAATCTCCATGCGAGGTGGCACTCCAGTGGGCTGTGGTTTTCCCTTCATCTCCTGGCCAGGGAATCGGCACGCAATCTTCCTCTCTGTGGGCTGTGGTTTTCCCTTCATCTCCAGGCCAGGGAACCGGCAGGCCGTTTGCATTTCCTGGGCTTTCTGTTTTCCTTTGATAACATTTTCTTTTGGGTACTTGGGACATCACTGGGGCTGATGCTATGACTCTCACTCTTGCTGGTGATGGGATCTTTGTGAGGACCCTCCCTCCAGCTGGGAACGGGTCTTCCTCTCAGGGGCATCAACAAAACTCAGTTCTGAAATAGAACCACAGCCATCAGGATTGGTATTCATGCTCTCTCTCTGGCAGTCAGGCCTGCAGCAGAGGGACAAAGTAAGGAAAGGGGCCCTGGACAGTCTTGTCTGAAGTGGGAGATGAAATCTGCACAGACACTAAATGTTATTCATTTGGGTTGATTTTATACATACTCACTGATAATTTATCACTAGGCAAAAGTAATAAACATGGCTCAGATGATCACAATATTCAACAAAGTTGAACTAATAAAACACACAGCTCTTAAGCTTTTAAGGCACAGAAACCACACTGGGATATCTGTTGAAGGTTTGGGGGGATGGAGCAGGATCATCTAACCTGGAGGGCATTGTAATGAGAGACAAGGACAGGGGACCACTAACAGCTGGAATGGACACATCTAGCACAAGAACACATGCATTTCATACATGCACATGCTTTGCTGAACAAACACCAAGCACATCGATTCATAGGATATATGCCTTCAGTGTCTGTCATATAGATAATAATATACATGATGTGGCCATCATTTTCTGGTCAGTTGAAGTGGGAACCTAGTTACAGGCACCTGAAGAATGGAGAGACAAGCTAAGGTGAAACACAAAAGTCAGGAAGAAATCCCAGGTGGAGGTAAGGCATTGCTTTGGCCTAGCACACACATCTCCCTCCTGAGGCAGTGTTGTGCCCTTGCCTGCTTCCTCATGACTTCCCAGCCCTGGCACTGGGTGTTTCTGAGACAAAGCCACACAAGCACTAGTCTGTGGCAAAGACAAGTTCAAGGCCTCACTGGGACACTGAGTGCAAAAAGCCGAGGGGAGAGACCAGGAACTCTCAGGCCATGGGGCACTGCCTGAGCTGGAGTTCTATCTGAGAACCTCAATGAGGTGCTGACCCTGCTCAGGGACGAAGCACACCGATGCCTCCTAGTGGGAGATGTTGTGCAGGGCCTTTAGAAGTTCTTGTTTGCAGACCAGAACTTTTCTACTGATATTTGAAATTCTCTCAACACAATTTGTTACAGAAGAAAAGTTTTAAGTGTGAGTACCCATAGCAGCCACCTCGGCTGGCATGTCTGCTGAAAACAAGTGGACTGAGCCTACAGACAAGGGCTAGGCCAAGGAGTGGTCTCTGATTGCAATGCACACAAGGTGGGGTGATCTGGGAGAGTGACCTTGTTGAGCCTCAGGATCCTCCCCCCAAGGTGGGGACAGAATCTCCACCAGGAGAGGTCCAGTGAGGGTTGCATGGATCAGGATGGCACAGGGTCTAGCACAGCACAGATGCCCATGAGAGTGGCCTTCATAGCTGGGTGTGAATCGCTGTGACCTGGGATGACTCTGCACATCTCTGTACCTCTGTACAGAGGAAAGGCATGGTCTCACCAAGGAAAGGTGCCTGCTGATCTATAGCACTGGGGGGACAACTGTCATTGCCAATTCTACTCCAGAACCTGAGAAACAGGGAAGGGCATCAGGATTTCGTGATTTCCTACAGAATGATTTGATGATTGAAGGTGCCTCAAACCCTAAAGATTCCTCCTGAGAGAAAGTGTAAAGTTCATTGAAGCTCAGATTCAAGGAAATTGGACTTTTTCTCTGCCTCCCCCCATGAAGGCATACTCCAAGGCTCCTACTCAACAAGAGGCACTCTGCCTGTGATGACGTGAGGGACCCTCAGCCTCACTCAGATACTGAATAGATTCCTGTCGTGGTGCAAGGTTATGGAAGCTTTGCATGAGAATAAAATGCTGAGTTTAGACACTGGATTAAAACTACAGACCCTCATATGAGCACAAATCAGTGCTGTAAAGCAGAAGATGAAAACCACACCATGGACACAGGTGCGGGACTGGACTGCTGTGGTTAGCACCAAGCTGCTTCAGAGAAAACAGAGAATCTGCCAACCAAGGACACCTAGTATCAGATAACTAAGGAAACATCGTACAGACTGCCAAAGCTTTAAGCCTGAGAAGTTTGGAGGATGCTGTTTACAATTGCAACTGTTGTTAAAATTAAGAACATCACAGTGACTTGTTAAAGAAGCCTCTCCAAGAGAGATGGTGGTGGCTCAGTGTTTGCCATCCTGCCTTCCCATTCCCTCCTTCCCTATCTTGATGTCAAAAGCTGCACCTTGAAAGTGGGCCTGGTGACAGCCAAGGGATTCCCCCGTTTGATGACTATGAACAAACTCCACCCAAGAGCCACATCCAGACTGAGATAAGTCCCCGGGGCCTGAGTGCACAGTGGTCTGTCTCACCCAACACAGGTGTAGCAACCCAAGACTACAGAGGCCACCTGGGAGACCAGTGGAGTGTTCCCGTTCACAATGGAGCACTCACTGTCTACAACAAGAGCAGAGCAGACAGGCTGCTTCTCCAGTGAGGACCAGGTGCTCCTAGAATGGGACCAGTCAGAAGCTTCCGGAAGAAGTGCAGGAGACAAACACGTACCGTGAGAGTCTTCTGAGACATCTTGATCTTCAATCTCTGGAATCTCCCTGATGAGACTGGAGGGAGGGAAAGGTGGGTGAGAAACAGAAGGGGAACAGAAAGCCCCTTTACAAGCTGTTTCAAAGAGGAGGCTCCCCAGAAGTGGCTGGGCTGAGCAAGGGGCCACCCACAACTTAGTCCCTATCTGGGAAAGACTGGCTACCAATTCCCAGTAGTCCATGCTACACTGTTTGCTCTGCCTCCAAGTTACCTGGAAGTGTATGTGACAGTTTTCTCTGGTACCTCCACTTCGTGATATTGATTTTCTGCAAACAAATTCAGAGAGATTGAACAGGTTAAGCAGGTTTTAGGTCAGATATGGGTTACCGATGGCCACTACTATCAAGGGGACAGATTGTTCTCATGTGAGAACAGGAGACTGTGACAGAAGTCCTCCAGGAGGACTAAGTCGACTCAGGAGATGGGCTTGGTGAGCCATCCTGGGCAAGGGGTCAAATCTCCCTGCTCACAGTTGGATCACCATCTCAATAACCTCTGTCCAGAACCCTTAGAAACAGCCTGCAATGGTCCTCAGGGATTCTAAGCTCACAGCCCAAGAACTTCCTAGGAGGCAAACTGCAGTCATCTGGCTGCTCTCATTAAAGGACCCAGGTTGCTGACTGTGGAGAGGAGGTAGAACACTGGGAGAGAGCTATGCATGGAGTCTGATGCCCTGGAATTGAAACCTGTTTGATGCCACACAGAATCTTGGCTATTCTAAGAGTTGCTCATGAATAATCTCCCTCTTGTCTATGGGAACAATACAAGCAATTCAAGAGCATGTATTTCTGGATGAACTCTTCCCTAGTCAATTCATCTTCCAATGGAAACGCCATTGAGAACATGAATGACAGAGATGCCTATATGGATGCTGTGGCCTGGACAAGCATGGATGTCAAAGGGCAGAGCTGAGGATTGGCTTTGAAGAAAAAGTAAGCAAGTGGCGACAGTGATCCTCCAAGGTTCCAACCAGGAGGGAGCAAACACCACCGGGGCACATGCTGCTGAGCTTGCTGTGAAATGGTCACAGCTCTGTTCCATAACAAATAAACAATCATGAATTCTAACTCCTGCTTACAGCTCAATTCAGGATTTTGAGTCTACAACCACAAGTCTGTAGGTCTGGCACGTAGCAATGACTTCACTCATCCTCAGTGGGGATAGGAGTACAAGGACAGAGCAGTCACCAGGGGCAGAGATGAAGGTTTACCTACTCTCAAAAGGGATCATTCTGTACATAAACTGCCCAGCAATCTGCTCTGGCTTTCTGAGCATAAGCAGCTCCTGTATGCTTGCAGTCAGACATCCCAGGCACAACTGGAGCCTAGAAACGTTCATCCAGGGAACTCTGTTCTGTGAAACAGCAACCACTTTCGACAGAAATGCAGATGGGCATGCCTCACTGGGAGCCTGAGTGCAAAAAGCCCGAGGGGAGAGACCAGGAACCTTCAGGCCATGGGACACTCCTGAGCTGGAGTTCTATCTGAGAACCTCAATGAGGTGCTGACCCTGCTCAGGGACTAAGCACACCGATGTCTTCCTAATGGGAGATGTTGTGCAGGGCCTTTAGAAGTTCTTGTTTGCAGACCAGAACTTTTCTACTGATATTTGAAATTCTCTCAACACAATTTGTTACAGAAGAAAAGTTTTAAGTGTGAGTACCCATAGCAGCCACATCGCTGGCATGTCTGCTGAAAACAAGTGGGACTGAGCCTACAGACAAGGGTCAGGCCAAGGAGTGGTCTCTGATTGCAATGCACACAAGGTGGGGTGACCTGGGAGAGTGACCTTGTTGAGCCTCAGGATCCTCTCCCCAAGGTGGGGACAGAATCTCCACCAGGAGAGGTCCAGTGAGGGTTGCATGGATCAGGATGGCACAGGGTCTAGCACAGCACAGATGCCCATGAGAGTGGCCTTCATAGCTGGGTGTGAATCGCTGTGTACCTGGGATGACTCTGCCATCTCTGTACCTCTGTACAGAGGAAAAGCACATGGTCTCACCAAGAAAAGGTGCCTGCTGATCTACAGCACTGGGGGGACAACTGTCATTGCCAATTCTACTGCCAGAACACTGAGAAACAGGGAAGGGCATCAGGATTTCGTGATTTACCTACTGAATGATTTGATGAGTGAAGTGCCGTCAAACCCTAGATCCTCCTGAGAGAAAGTGTAAAAGTTCATTGAAGCTCAGATTCAAGGAAATTGGACTTTTTCTCTGCCTCCCCCGCCATGAAGCAATACTTCAAGGCTCCTACTCAACAAGAGGCACTCTGCCTGTGATGACGTGAGGGACCCCTCAGCCTCACTCAGATACTGAATAGATTCCTGTCCTGGTGCAAGATTATGGAGGCTTTACAGGAGAAAAAAATGCCGAGTTTAGACACTGGATTAAAACTACAGACCTCATATGAGCACAAATCAGTGCTGTAAGCAGAAGATGAAAACCACACCATGGAGACAGGTGCGGGACTGGACTGCTGTGGTTAGCACCAAGCTGCTTCAGAGAAAACAGAGAATCTGCCAACCAAGGATACCTAGTATCAGATAACTAAGGAAACATCATACAGACTGCCAAAGCTTTAAGCCTGAGAAGTTTGGAGGATGCTGTTTACAATTGCAACTGTTGTTAAAATTAAGAACATCACAGTGACTTGTTAAAGAAGCCTCTCCAAGAGAGATGGTGGTGGCTCAGTGTTTGCCATCATGCCTTCCCATTCCCCTCCTTCCCTAGTCTTGACGTCAAAAGCTGCACCTTGAAAGTGGGCCTGGTGACAGCCAAGGGATTCCCCCGTTTGATGACTATGAACAAACTCCACCCAAGAGCCACATCCAGACTGAGATAAGTGCCCAGGGCCTGAGTGCACAGTGGTCTGTCTCACCCAACACAGGTGCACCAACCCAAGATTACAGAGGACACCTGGGAGAGCAGTGGAGTGTCCCCATTCACAATGGAGCACTCACTGTCTACAACAAGAGCAGAGCAGACAGGCTGCTTCTCCAGTGAGGACCAGGTGCTCCTAGAATGGGACCAGTCAGAAGCTTCCGGAAGAAGTGCAGGAGACAAACACGTACTGTGAGAGTCTTCTGAGACATCTTGATCTTCAATCTCTGGAATCTCCCTGATGAGACTGGAGGGAGGGAAAGGTGGGTGAGAAACAGAAGGGGAACAGAAAGCCCCTTTACAAGCTGTTCCAAAGAGGAGGCTCCCAGAAGTGGCTGGGCTGAGCAAGGGGCCACCCACAACTTTGTCCCTATCTGGGAAACACTGGCTACCAATTCCGTAGTAGTCCATGCTACACTGTTTGCTCTGCCTCCAAGTTACCTGGAAGTGTATGTGACAGTTTTCTCTGGTACCTCCACTTCGTGATATTGATTTTCTGCAAACAAATTCAGAGAGATTGAACAGGTTAAGCAGGTTTTAGGTCAGATATGGGTTACCGATGGCCACTACTATCAAGGGGACAGATTGTTCTCATGTGAGAACAGGAGACTGTGACAGAAGTCCTCCAGGAGGACTAAGTCGACTCAGGAGATGGGCTTGGTGAGCCATCCTGGGCAAGGGGTCAAATCTCCCTGCTCACAGTTGGATCACCATCTCAATAACCTCTGTCCAGAACCCTTAGAAACAGCCTGCAATGGTCCTCAGGGATTCTAAGCTCACAGCCCAAGAACTTCCTAGGAGGCAAACTGCAGTCATCTGGCTGCTCTCATTAAAGGACCCAGGTTGCTGACTGTGGAGAGGAGGTAGAACACTGGGAGAGAGCTATGCATGGAGTCTGATGCCCTGGAATTGAAACCTGTTTGATGCCACACAGAATCTTGGCTCTTCTAAGAGTTGCTCATGAATAATCTCCCTCTTGTCTATGGGAACAATACAAGCAATTCAAGAGCATGTATTTCTGGATGAACTCTTCCCTAGTCAATTCATCTTCCAATGGAAACGCCATTGAGAACATGAACGACAGAGATGCCTATATGGATGCTGTGGCCTGGATAAGCATGGATGTCAAAGGGCAGAGCTGAGGATTGGCATTGAAGAAAAAGTAAGCAAGTGGCGACAGTGATCCTCCAAGGTTCCCACCAGGAGGGAGCAAACACCACCGGGGCACATGCTGCTGAGCTTGCTGTGAAATGGTCACAGCTCTGTTCCATAACAAATAAACAATCATGAATTCTAACTCCTGCTTACAGCTCAATTCAGGATTTTGAGTCTATAGCCACAAGTCTGTAGGTCTGGCACGTAGCAATGACTTCACTCATCCTAGTGGGGATAGGAGTACAAGGACAGAGCAGTCACCAGGGACAGAGATAAAGGTTTACCAACTCTCAAAAGGGATCATTCTGTACATAAACTGCCCACCAATCTGCTCTGGCTTTCTGAGCATAAGCAGCTCCTGTATGCTTGCAGTCAGACATCCCAGGCACAACTGGAGCCTAGAAACGTTCATCCAGGGAACTCTGTTCTGTGAAACAGCAACCATTTTGGACAGAAATGGAGATGGGCATGCCTCACTGGGACACTGAGTGCAAAAAGTCCGAGGGGAGAGACCAGGAACTCTCAGGCCATGGGGCACTCCTGAGCTGGAGTTCTATCTGAGAACCTCAATGAGGTGCTGACCCTGCTCAGGGACGAAGCACACCGATGCCTTCCTAGTGGGAGATGTTGTGCAGGGCCTTTAGAAGTTCTTGTTTGCAGACCAGAACTTTTCTACTGATATTTGAAATTCTCTCAACACAATTTGTTACAGAAGAAAAGTTTTAAGTGTGAGTACCCATAGCAGCCACCTCGCTGGCATGTCTGCTGAAACAAGTGGACTGAGCCTACAGACAAGGGGTAGGCCAAGGAGTGGTCTCTGATTGCAATGCACACAAGGTGGGGTGACCTGGGAGAGTGACCTTGTTGAGCCTCAGGATCCTCTCCCCAAGGTGGGGACAGAATCTCCACCAGGAGAGGTCCAGTGAGGGTTGCATGGATCAGGATGGCACAGGGTCTAGCACAGCACAGATGCCCATGAGAGTGGCCTTCATAGCTGGGTGTGAATCGCTGTGTCCTGGGATGACTCTGCACATCTCTGTACATCTGTACAGAGGAAAAGCGCATGGTCTCACCAAGAAAAGGTGCCTGCTGATCTATAGCACTGGGGGGACAACTGTCATTGCCAATTCTACTGCAGAACATTGAGAAACACGGAAGGGCATCAGGATTTCGTGATTTTCCTACTGAATGATTTGATGAGTGATTCTTGCTGAGAGAAAGTGTAAAACCTCATTGAAGATCAGATTCAAGGAAATTGGACTTTTTCTCTGCCTCCCCCGCCATGAAGCAATACTTCAAGGCTCCTACTCAACAAGAGGCACTCTGCCTGTGATGACGTGAGGGACCCCTCAGCCTCACTCAGATACTGAATAGATTCCTGTCCTGGTGCAAGATTATGGAGGCTTTACAGGAGAAAAAATGCCGAGTTTAGACACTGGATTAAAACTACAGACCTCATATGAGCACAAATCAGTGCTGTAAAGCAGAAGATGAAAACCACACCATGGAGACAGGTGCGGACTGGACTGCTGTGGTTAGCACCAAGCTGCTTCAGAGAAAACAGAGTCTGCCAACCAAGGATACCTAGTGTCAGATAACTAAGGAAACATTGTACAGACTGCCAAAACTTTAAGCCTGAGAAGTTTGGAGGATGCTGTTTACAATTGCAACTGTTGTTAAAATTAAGAACATCACAGTGACTTCTTCAAGAAACCTCTCCAAGAGAAATGGTGGTGGCTCAGTGTTTGCCATCCTGCATTCCCATCCCCTCCTTCCCTGTCTTGACGTCAAAAGCTGCGCCTTGAAAGTGGGCCTGGTGACAGCCAAGGGATTCCCCTGTTGGATGACTATGAACAAACTCCACCCAAGAGCCACATCCAGACTGAGATAAGTCCCCAGGGCCTGAGTGCACAGTGGTCTGTCTCACTCAACACAGGTGTAGCAACCCAAGACTACAGAGGCCACCTGGGAGACCAGTGGAGTGTTCCCGTTCACAATGGAGCACTCACTGTCTACAACAAGAGCAGAGCAGACAGGCTGTTTCTCCAGTGAGGACCAGGTGCTCCTAGAATGGGACCAGTCAGAAGCTTCCGGAAGAAGTGCAGGAGTCAAACGCGTACCGTGAGAGTCTTGTGAGACATCTTGATCTTCAATCTCTGGAATCTCCCTGATGAGACTGGAGGGAGGGAAAGGTGGGTGAGAAACAGAAAGGGAACAGAAAGCCCCTTTACAAGCTGTTCCAAAGAGGAGGCTCCCAGAAGTGGCTGGGCTGAGCAAGGGGCCACCCACAACTTAGTTCCTATCTGGGAAAGACTGGCTACCAATTCCGTAGTAGTCCATGCTACACTGTTTGCTCTGCCTCCAAGTTACCTGGAAGTGTATGTGACAGTTTTCTCTGGTACCTCCACTTCGTGATATTGATTTTCTGCAAACAAATTCAGAGAGATTGAACAGGTTAAGCAGGTTTTAGGTCAGATATGGGTTACCGATGGCCACTACTATCAAGGGGACAGATTGTTCTCATGTGAGAACAGGAGACTGTGACAGAAGTCCTCCAGGAGGACTAAGTCGACTCAGGAGATGGGCTTGGTGAGCCATCCTGGGCAAGGGGTCAAATCTCCCTGCTCACAGTTGGATCACCATCTCAATAACCTCTGTCCAGAACCCTTAGAAACAGCCTGCAATGGTCCTCAGGGATTCTAAGCTCACAGCCCAAGAACTTCCTAGGAGGCAAACTGCAGTCATCTGGCTGCTCTCATTAAAGGACCCAGGTTGCTGACTGTGGAGAGGAGGTAGAACACTGGGAGAGAGCTATGCATGGAGTCTGATGCCCTGGAATTGAAACCTGTTTGATGCCACACAGAATCTTGGCTCTTCTAAGAGTTGCTCATGAATAATCTCCCTCTTGTCTATGGGAACAATACAAGCAATTCAAGAGCATGTATTTCTGGATGAACTCTTCCCTAGTCAATTCATCTTCCAATGGAAACGCCATTGAGAACATGAACGACAGAGATGCCTATATGGATGCTGTGGCCTGGATAAGCATGGATGTCAAAGGGCAGAGCTGAGGATTGGCATTGAAGAAAAAGTAAGCAAGTGGCGACAGTGATCCTCCAAGGTTCCCACCAGGAGGGAGCAAACACCACCGGGGCACATGCTGCTGAGCTTGCTGTGAAATGGTCACAGCTCTGTTCCATAACAAATAAACAATCATGAATTCTAACTCCTGCTTACAGCTCAATTCAGGATTTTGAGTCTATAGCCACAAGTCTGTAGGTCTGGCACGTAGCAATGACTTCACTCATCCTAGTGGGGATAGGAGTACAAGGACAGAGCAGTCACCAGGGACAGAGATAAAGGTTTACCAACTCTCAAAAGGGATCATTCTGTACATAAACTGCCCACCAATCTGCTCTGGCTTTCTGAGCATAAGCAGCTCCTGTATGCTTGCAGTCAGACATCCCAGGCACAACTGGAGCCTAGAAACGTTCATCCAGGGAACTCTGTTCTGTGAAACAGCAACCATTTTGGACAGAAATGGAGATGGGCATGCCTCACTGGGACACTGAGTGCAAAAAGTCCGAGGGGAGAGACCAGGAACTCTCAGGCCATGGGGCACTCCTGAGCTGGAGTTCTATCTGAGAACCTCAATGAGGTGCTGACCCTGCTCAGGGACGAAGCACACCGATGCCTTCCTAGTGGGAGATGTTGTGCAGGGCCTTTAGAAGTTCTTGTTTGCAGACCAGAACTTTTCTACTGATATTTGAAATTCTCTCAACACAATTTGTTACAGAAGAAAAGTTTTAAGTGTGAGTACCCATAGCAGCCACCTCGCTGGCATGTCTGCTGAAAACAAGTGGACTGAGCCTACAGACAAGGGGCAGGCAAAGGAGTGGTCTCTGATTGCAATGCACACAAGGTGGGGTGACCTGGGAGAGTGACCTTGTTGAGCCTCAGGATCCTCTCCCCAAGGTGGGGACAGAATCTCCACCAGGAGAGGTCCAGTGAGGGTTGCATGGATCAGGACGGCACAGGGTCTAGCACAGCACAGATGCCCATGAGAGTGGCCTTCATAGCTGGGTGTGAATCGCTGTGTCCTGGGATGACTCTGCACATCTCTGTACATCTGTACAGAGGAAAAGCGCATGGTCTCACCAAGAAAAGGTGCCTGCTGATCTATAGCACTGGGGGGACAACTGTCATTGCCAATTCTACTGCAGAACATTGAGAAACACGGAAGGGCATCAGGATTTCGTGATTTTCCTACTGAATGATTTGATGAGTGATTCTTGCTGAGAGAAAGTGTAAAACCTCATTGAAGATCAGATTCAAGGAAATTGGACTTTTTCTCTGCCTCCCCCCCCCATGAAGCAATACTTCAAGGCTCCTACTCAACAAGAGGCACTCTGCCTGTGATGACGTGAGGGACCCCTCAGCCTCACTCAGATACTGAATAGATTCCTGTCCTGGTGCAAGATTATGGAGGCTTTACAGGAGAAAAAAATGCCGAGTTTAGACACTGGATTAAAACTACAGACCTCATATGAGCACAAATCAGTGCTGTAAAGCAGAAGATGAAAACCACACCATGGAGACAGGTGCGGGACTGGACTGCTGTGGTTAGCACCAAGCTGCTTCAGAGAAAACAGAGTCTGCCAACCAAGGATACCTAGTGTCAGATAACTAAGGAAACATTGTACAGACTGCCAAAACTTTAAGCCTGAGAAGTTTGGAGGATGCTGTTTACAATTGCAACTGTTGTTAAAATTAAGAACATCACAGTGACTTCTTCAAGAAACCTCTCCAAGAGAAATGGTGGTGGCTCAGTGTTTGCCATCCTGCATTCCCATCCCCTCCTTCCCTGTCTTGACGTCAAAAGCTGCGCCTTGAAAGTGGGCCTGGTGACAGCCAAGGGATTCCCCTGTTGGATGACTATGAGCAAACTCCACCCAAGAGCCACATCCAGACTGAGATAAGTGCCCAGGGCCTGAGTGCACAGTGGTCTGTCTCACCCAACACAGGTGCAGCAACCCAAGACTACAGAGGCCACCTGGGAGACCAGTGGAGTGTTCCCGTTCACAATGGAGCACTCACTGTCTACAACAAGAGCAGAGCAGACAGGCTGTTTCTCCAGTGAGGACCAGGTGCTCCTAGAATGGGGCCAGTCAGAAGCTTCCAGAAGAAGTGTAGGAGTTAAACACGTACCGTGAGAGTCTTGTGAGACATCTTGATCTTCAATCTCTGGAATCTCCCTGATGAGATTGGAGGGAGGGAAAGGTGGGTGAGAAACATAGAAGGAACAGAAAGCCCCTTTCCAAGCTGTTCCAAGAGGAGGCTTCCAGAAGTGGCTGGGCTGAGCAAGGGGCCACCCACAACTTTGTCCCTATCTGGGGAAGACTGGCTACTAACGGTGCAGACAGGATGCAATGTCTTCCATTTGAGGAGGCTCCTTGCTGACCACCTGGAGTAGATGAACTGAACGTTATCACAGGGCAGCTTTCATGTGAGGAAAAATGAAGTGCTCATAGGAAGCACGTGGCAAACAGAAAGCCAGGTAAAACAGAAACACAACTGCCTTCACTTAGAATGGTAAGTATGTGTAGATATATAATATTTACACATGAATCAACTACAGCCAAATATTAAATCTATGTGTGCTTGTAGACTTCTTTATGCTTATTTGTACTGCTTGAAGTCATTTTAAAGTAAACAGGCAAACAGAACTCTCATCTTCTTGGAGAAAGAGTATTAGGTTTGAGGTGATAAGTGAGTAGCGGAGATATTGACAGGGCATGGAGACAGAAGCAGAGAGAAACAGAGGATTTCCTCTGTTTTGAGGTCATTAGGGACTCAGCCTGGAGAAATGACTCTCAGTTGGTCCACTAGTACCCATGAGTATTTGGGAAATGAAAACTGGCTTCAACAGATTTATGTAAACTACATGCAGAGTCAATGAATTCCCCTTGTGGGATACTGGAGACTACCACGGATTTAGCCGTCAGTCTTATTCTCAGTGCTGAGGCACTAGTTTCTGTCAGGTTGTTTTACATGATTAATGGGGGGCAGAGAAGCTCATGAGAAGAGGAGACCTGTGAGCAGCACCCTGCCCTTCACTGCACACGAGAGAGGCAATGATGGCAAGGAATCCCTGGAGAGGCTCCTTCATGGAGTCAGCCTGCTGCAGGTCACTACGTGGAAAAGGTAGGGAGAAGTGGAAACCCAGACTAGTACCCTAATGATGGCAGACAGCAGTGCTGACGGGGTGCCGCAGGGTTGGCTCAATGGATGGGAGATGCACAGTGGCACTGCTCTTCTTCTCTGGACCTGGAGTCTGCCCGGGTCAGCACTAAGCTCGCTGCCCAGGGTTCCTAAGACTCACCTGGTGTGTGACAGGGCTTGTGCTTCCTCTTGCATTTCATCATTGTCATGTTCCTTTTCTGCAAATGAATTCAAACAGGCACAGTCATCCAGGATGATCCCCTCAAAGCCTGTGCAATGCGCTGTCCAGCACTAGCACAGCACACCAGTATCCTCAGTGTCACTGCCGACTCCTCAGATAGGAATTGTCTAGAGGGTGGAGGTCATTTCTGAGGGAACTAGCTTGTTCATTTTTCTTGACACATGAGGTAAACCTCCCTATTCCTCCAGTCATCACACCAATAATCACTGACCTGATTACCTACAGAAATGAAACAAATTTTCCCAAGTGTGGTTGCTGTGGCAAGCAGGTAAAGCTGCTGCCTTTAACCCCAGGATCCCATGTCAATGCCGGATCAAGTCCTGGCTGTTCTACTTCTGATCCAAATCCCTCTAATGCACCTGGGAATGCAGTAGAAGATGGTCCAGTACTTGGGCCCTGCACCCACATAGGAGACCTGGAGGAAACTCCTAGTTCCTCCCTGGGCCTGGTCCAGTCGATGCCATTGTGGCCATGTGGGGAGCAGACCAGAGTATGCAAGAGTTGCCTCTCTCTCTCTCTCCCTGTTTCTCTCTCTCTCTCCCTGTTTCTCTAATTCTGCCTTTCATAAGGTAAAATCAAATCTAAAATAATATTCTCTGGAGATGCTTGGTTCCTAGTGTGATTCCTTTCCATGAGAGGAAGTGCAGTGCCCATGGTTCTCAAACAAGCTCTCTTGGTAGTTTGTGGTTTACCATATTTTGTACATTGAGGATAAGATAAAAGGTGGAACAGGTGAATTTTCAGTTCTGGGTATCAGAGTGAATGTGTGCAGCACAAGAGAAAACTTGGCTACTCATGGAATCTCTAAGCACAGGTCTCAGACCTGCAGCCTGGGGACACACTACTAAAGGAATGACAGAACATTTTGTATGTGTGGTAGGTGAAATGATGCCAACGTTGAAGGGACAGACAACGTGGTTGGGTTCAATGAAACAGGGGGAGTATCTTGACTGCAATGGAGACGAGCATGCTGCTGGCTCTGACAGGAAGCAATGTCACATGACAGGGATGGGGAATGACTCGTGTGATCAACACTGCAGGGGGCAGAGGGGTCTGCTTCATTAGGAATGGATGGCAGAGACAAGCATGAGATGTGCTGCTTAGGTGGGTGTGCATCTGTGACATTCTTCTGGCAATGACTGAGCACTGGAATCTGAGTGACAAAGCCACACAAGGAATGGGAGGACAGCAAGGCTGGATGGGCCAACCACACCTGTGCAACAGACTGGTTGAAAAAGAACAGATGCTGAGAACGTCTCAGACCATCCCATGTCCAGGAGCCCTCTCAGTCAGGTGGGAGTGATGAGTGCAAGGATAGTGCGGGCTCCTTGGCAAGCAGAGGGGGTTGTATCACCTCACAGTGGAGGACTCACCATTTGCATCTGGAGCAGAGAGCATGTCCTGCTGCTCCAGGGAGCACCAGCTGCTCCACGTGGAATGGTCAAGCTCAGAAACGACCGGAAAAATCGAGGGAGTGAGGTAGCACTCGTCCAGTGAGTCCTCTGGGTCTTCCCGCTCTTGCTCCTCTGGGAGCTCCCTGCTGGGATGGGAGGGCAGAGACACTGAAGACATGCATCACAGGTACAGAAGTGACTTTGTCATCAGACTACAGGTTAAAATATGTGAGGGATGTTCAAAGGGGGAATATAGAGGGAAACAATGCAAAAGGGAACGTTATGAAAAGAGCCATTTCATCATTGGCTGAATGTTCCAACTGGCTCTAGTGACCAGTTTCTCCAGCATTTTGATTCCCTAGTAGTCCATGCTACAGTGTCTGCTCTGCCTCCGAGTTACCTGGAAGTGTATGTGACAACTTGCTCTTGTACCTCCACTTCGTGATATTGATTTTCTGCAAACAAATTCAGAGAGATTGAACAGGTTAAGCAGGTTTTGGTCAGATATGCGTGTCCGATGGCCACTACTACCAAGGGGACAGATTGTTCTTGTGTGACAACAGGAGACTGTGACAGAAATCCTCCAGGAGGACTAAGTTGACATCAGGAGATGGGCTTGGTGAGCCATCCTGGGCAAGGGGTCAAATCTCCCTGTTCACAGTTGGATCAGCATCTCAATAACCTCTGTCCAGAACCCTTAGAAACAGCCTGCAATGGTCCTCAGGGATTCTAAGCTCACAGCCCAAGAACTTCCTAGGAGGCAAACTGCAGTTGTCAGGCTGCTCTCATTAAAGGACCCAGGTTGCTGACTGTGGAGAGGAGGTAGAACACTGGGAGAGAGCTATGCATGGAGTCTGCATGCCCTGGAATTGAAACCTGTTTGATGCCACACAGAATCTTGGCTCTTCTAAGCGTTCCTCATGAGTAATCTCCCTCTTGTCTATGGGAACAATACAAGCAATTCAAGAGCTCTCTCCCCAGGCCCTTTAGGATTTATGTATCTAAAATCTAGGAGTGTTGCTATGTTACTGACTCATCCTATCAGACTGATCATGGTGAATAAGGGTAGAGGAGTTTCTAAAGAAGGCTGAATGAACTCCATAATACCTCGCACAAATAAATCTATGCAGTTATAGAGAAACATTGAACATTGATTTTGTAGGGACGTTCCTGGATTCAGCTATGTTTTTTGAACTGTACAGGAAGTACAGTATAAAAGACTTTATATCCTGGTTTTGGGATGATTGCATAGCTAAGATAAGCTGTCTTAAAGGAGATAGAGACTAGGGATGGAAGTAGGGAAACTAGGATCACAACTTGGCCCACACATGGGAAGTGTTACTAAAAGCCTGCATGGGGCTAGAACTCCAGGGATGCAGTAGTAGAACAGAATGATATCACTGCGGGTGACAGCAGGCATTATTTCTAAGTTAGAGTGTCTGAAAGGCACTTCCTACACAGGGCCTCTGTATGTTCCCTTAGGCTAGGGTGCAGTGAGACAAACTGCATCTGAGGGGAGGGAAGCTCCTTGACTCTCCTGATGTCTATGTTCAGTGCCACAACCTGGACCCTGACTGAAACCAACTTGTGTCTGCAGGGCCTGTGCTCAAAAGTGACCCTCAACCTGAGAGCCATTGTGTACAAAGAATGGAGAGGCTACCTGGGAGAACGGTGACAGGTTCTTCTTTCTTTTGTGAACAAGCGTGTTCCCCATCTACACCTAGCACACTGTGGGTGTCCTCAGCATCAGGAGACATTTGCACAGTGCCCTCAGGCAGGCAGGAGTCACTCAGCAGGTGGTCAACAGCACCAGTGATAGATGTTTCCTGCTGTGAATTTTGTGGGGTTTCCATTTCATCCACTTCCAAGAGCTCCCTGAGAAGCCAGGTGGGATAAGGATGACAGAGATTAAACCAAGAAGGAAGAGACACCAAGGAGGTGGCTGGTTTGGATGGGGTGCATAAGGGATCAGTCATAGACAGCATAGAGGTTGTTCCCTCCACTCTGGACACCGTGTGGCTGCCTAGGGGGAGAGGGCCTGGGAAGAGATCAGCCTCTGCTCATCACACTCAATACACAGCAGCTAATGAGGAAGCAGCCTCCACTGTCGCTGCATGGCACAGTCACAGCACAAGCACACATTGACAGCCACGCGGGCTGACACCCTGTGCTCAGGTTGGGTTGTTGCAGTGTCCTGCAGCCATGTGATCAAGGTTCTAGGGGCTTGGCAGATTCTAGAGATGTGCTACCTTCTGGGCCTTCTCTTAACCAAGTCACAGGACAGCAAACATGGTTTTGTAGAGGTGCTTTTCTGCAGTTGAACCTGGCTGGATTCTTCCTAACTGCCCCCTTTGCCCATTGCCTCTTTGTTAGTTTTCTCTGGTGAGAACTTCAGCTAACTCTGTAGAAAGCAGATGCACATCTTCCTCCCTTTTCCAGAAAGCAGAGAACAGAGGTTCCCTTTGTGTGCAGGCAACACCTAAGGCTGTGAGTTCATGATGGATCCTATCAGCAACTCGGACCAGGACAACAGACACCTACTTTAACAGGGGGATTTCCTAGTTGGCAAGGAAGGACTCAACACAATCTGCAGTTGTGTTTCTGTGTGTGCCTCAACTCCATGACTGCCTCGGCCCCTTTTCTGTTCTTTACGAGACCCTGTGCATCCTTCACCCATTTGTTGCCAGCTCCTAATCATTCACTATTACCTGTCAGCAACAGGTCCTTGTGCTGGTGTTTCCTCCTCTTCAATATTTTCTGTAAACAGATTCAGAAATGTCCAATCAGATAATATCACTGCCCCCATTACAATCAAGGTGGCCTCTGTGTGCATATGAATATCTACATATGGGCCAATAGTGGACAAAAACTTCAAATGTTCTGTGTTTAAAGAAATGCCTTACCATTCTCTTGTGGTCCATTAGGCTTTGTGTCTCTGCACTTGGAGATCAGAATCATGGCAGAATCTGCCTGAAACTAGGCCAACATCCTTTGCTCCCATATCACTGGAAGCTTCTCAAGCTTCCCTGGGACTTCTGCCTGTTATCCCTCATCCTGCCACTAGTGGGAGTCCAAGGCATGGGTTCTATGTTCCCATGGGTCTCACAGAGAAACTCCAGCTGTCATGAAGAAGCAAAGAACCCGACTTCCATCCCTCCTTCACAGGCCCTCCACGTTTTCTCTGCTGTATCATTAGAGGAAATTCTCTCTGTGTTATGAGTCCCTTCTCAACAGCTTTCCTCACTGAAGTTCTACTAACTCTAGTGCCTGGTCTGACACTCCCAGGGAGAGGAGGGCCTTTGTCCTATTGGGAAACCTACAAGCAACAGCTTCCACCTTTGATGGTTACATCTGCTCTGCCCCAGAGTTTTTGGTCCATCTAGTGAATGAGGCAAGAGAAATCCTGGATGGAGAAAGCAATCAGCTGTCTACCATTTGAAAACCACACTGAGCACAGAGCTGGAGGCTTCCATTCAAGTTAGCTCAGTGACTTTGTTCAGCCTAACAGTGGCCTCACTTCACAAGGTCTTTCTGGTCTTGATATGAGGATGGACCCTGCCTCTTCCCCCAATGGCCAACCACAATCAGGAAGGGAGGAGACCTTTGGGATACTGCAAACTTGAAAGACTTCTCTGCCCCTATCTGTTTTTCCCAAGCAGTGCTGACCTTGTCCTGGTACACATGTTCAGTACCAAGAAGAGCTGAGGCAAATGCCCATGGCAGAGATGAATGCATCTGAACCCCTGAGGCTTCTCACATGACAGCCTGTGCCCAGCTTACCTGCTCCTAGCAGGTCCTCAAGGCACGCTGACAGCCGGACAGCCTCAGTGAGCAGTCGTCGGAAGCCCTGCCCCGTACAGGTCTCAGGGTCATGCACGGTGAGCACGTCCTTCAGGTACTGCTGCAGGATGTGGGCTAGATTTCTCCCCCTTTGGACCTTTGGACGTAACTGGGAAAGTTCTTGGTCCTGATCTTCAAGGATGCCACGGCAATGCCTAAGGTGCAAGCATGGAGAAAGTTCTAGATGGGAAGGGATGAGTGTTAGGCTCTCTGTATTTCCACAGATTTTCATAACAATGCCTTATAGAGCCCTCCACCAGCATCACCACTCAGGTTTGGAGAAATACCTGTGCCAAGAACAGCAAAGGGCAACACAAGGCCTTGCTCCCACTTTTAGAGAAAGATCTTGTCACAATTCCTGAGATTCCATTCAGGTCATGTTCTATCAACAGTGCAAGGATTCTTCCTTTCTCGCCTTCATAAAGGTGCTAATTCAGTTCCTCCTTCCAGCCACAGGCATTTCCACGTAGGAAGACACACAGTGTACAGTGTAGTGACTGGGATTCATGGTGCACACAGGGGTTACATGGCAAGAAACAAGAATGAAGGTCTGGCAGGGCCAAGCTGAGCATCAGTCTTCTATATCAGGAGGTGATGGTGACTAAGGGGAAATGAGGATTGATTGCAAGATGACCAATCAGAGGAGCCCAGCATCCCCTCTACCTCCCCTGAGAAGACCCAATGCAGCTCCATCTTGAGGTGAGTGACCACAGAAAAGCACCTCCACACTAAGGGAACCATGAGAACATGGGAGGAAGAGAGAACAGGCATAGCACCACCTACAGAGGACCAAAGCTAACTGGTGACTGGATTCCCAGAAACACAGCCATGGGGATTTCCTGTTGCAGAAGAGAGAGTAAACAGGAGGGCCCCATGGGAGCCCATCCACCTGGACACCTTACTTACAGACTCTCCGCACTTGCAGCTCTGAATTCAGATTCCTCTGCTCCCTCCTTGTTTCATAACGTCTGAGACATGGGGCTTTGCTGAAACTCTCTGCCCTTGTCTGGCACAGGCTGGCTCAGTTTTTGATTTGGGCTGCCCACTAGTGTCACACATCCCCACCTGCCTGCCCTACACAGAGAGCCTTACCTGAGCAGCTCAGCAGACCTGGACTGCTTTGGCAGGGGCCTCCCCATGTAGCTTCTTGGTCAACATGGACTCCATGATGTCTTTTTTTTTATTATCTATTCATACCATTTTATTACAGAAATAAACAGTAATTGCGGAGGGAATAGTATTTTCATTTTAAATTCTCCTGTAGGGAGAATTTTTTCAAAGTACCTATTCACTTTTACTTTCATTGTAAAATTAATTTTTACCATTTCTTTCTAAAAATTTATTCATTCATTTATTGTAAGTAATATACATTTCATAAGACAACTTTAGGAATATAGTTATTCTTCTCCCCATACCCAGGGTACCACCCACACTCCCAGCCCAGCTCCTCTTCCCTCTCTACTTCTCAATCTCATTCTCCTTTAAGATGCATTTTCAATGAACTTTGTACACAGAAGACCAACTCTATATTAAGTAACGATTTCAACAATGTGCACACACACCCACCCAAGAATAAAAACTGTTTGAGAAATGTTTCACTGTAACTCTCTCTTAATACAACTCATTGAGGACAGAGGTCCTGCATGGGGAGTCAGTGCACAGTGACTCCTGCTGTTAATTGAACAATTAGCACTCCTCTGTATGTTGTCAGGGACCACACAAGGCTCATGACATGAGCTGACTAGGCTATGGAAGCATTTTGAAAACTCTGTCTGTATTTAGACAAGGCCATCAGCAAAGTGGAAGTTCTCTCCTCCCTTAGAGAAAAGTGCATCCTCCTTTGATGGCCACTTCTTTGTCTGGGGTCCCACAGTGATCCTACATGGAGAACATTGTTTGCCACAGTGCCTTGGCTTTCCATGCCTGAGATGCCTCAGTTCTCCCTTCTGAGCTGCCCCACCGGAGACACCCACACACCTCCCCACCTGCCTGTCCCACACAGAGACCCTTACCTGAGCAGCTCTGGGACCGTGGGCTTCTCTGCCAGCGGCTCCTCCAAGTGGAGCTTCTTGGTCAGTATGGACTCAATGATGTTTTTAAACTTCTCACAATCTGGGGAAAGACAGACACGCAGAACTCAGGGAGGTGCTTTTGTAGTCAGTGCCTGCTGAAGACCAAAAGAACTCCAGGGCCAGGCTCCAGATTGGGAGTTTCACATCTGTATTTCATCACCTCACTACATAGCATCTGAAATTTCCTATTTTTAAAAGATTTATTTATTTGAAAGGCAGAGTTACAGAGAGACATAGGCAGAGAGAGAGAGAGAGAGAGAGAGAGAGAGAGAGAGAGACTCCATCAGCTGATTCACTCCCCAAATGGCTGTAAGGTTGGAGCTGTGCCAATCTGAAGCCAGACGCCAAGAGCTGTTTCTAGGTCTCCCATGTGGATGCAGGGGCCTAAGCACGTTGGTTATCTTCTACTGCTTTTTAGGCCATAGCAGAGAGCTGGATTGGTAGTGGACCAGCCAGAATTGAACTAGTACCCATATGGGATGCCAGCACTGCAGGCAGCGGCTTTACCTGCTGAACCACAGCACTGACCCTGCTATTTCCCAGTAAAATGAGAAAAAAGGACTTCAAAGATACAGAAGGTGACTTGACAAGGTGATTCCACTGGTGTTTACAGAATCAGAGTTCCCAGCCCCTGAGCTCAGACTGAATCATGAGCCACTGGACTCAGCAAGCCTTGCAGCCTCTCAGGTCAAACAGGAACTTGGGGCATGAAGTCGTCACCTTCTGTATATTTGGGAGCTTGATAAGGGTGTAGGACTGTTTCCTTGCATTGGGAAAGATTTCAAGTGTTTGTTATTTCAGACTTAAGGGACCATCTTTCATGGAACTGTGTAGAATACAATGTATAACAAAGTAAGGCCCTGAGGCAATATGGCCCAAGAAAAAGTATAGTTCCTGCTAAATTAGAAACAGTGCAATAAGGGCCTCATGGATTCTGTTGATCTTGAGCAAGGAACCATCCTTGGAGTTGTATAGGAAAGAAGGAGCACATATTGTTGTGACAATCTACAGAGGCAGGAATTATGATAGCACCTATGAATGGGAGAGAAATCGAAGCTACAGAGAAGGTGGGCAGTGGGGAGCACCCAGGTGAGTGGGCCTGATTCCCCCCCTACACCCTGTGCTCCCACTCCCAGGTCTCAGGCAGCGTCTTCCTCTTCTGGAAGAAGAACTTGTGCTCCAGGAGCAGGACTTTCTCCCAGTGGGGAGGCTGTGTTGTGAGGGTGTTCCCATGGATACCAGAGTTCCAGTGCACAGGAGACTCTCTGTCTCTCTGGAAGCACATCCTGCTCACTCTGAACACATGTCCACTCCTGACCTAGGACAGTGCTTTGCCAATGGGAACTCAACGGAAGCTTGAATTGAGTGAAATGCGTTAGCCCCAGAAATGAGGCCCACAGTGATGGTATAAGGCTGCAGGAGCTGACACAGACAGGATGATCATAAACATGCACTCAATATGGTGGAGCCTGACCCTGAGGACAACAGGCAGCTCGATGCCTCAACAGGAATCCATGAAAGATTCAGCACTCCTGTCACCCTACACCTCACTGCTACCTTGGAAAACTTGCGAAACCCTGTGTGTCAGCTTGGGAGTGTGGTCAGGAGGAAATTAAGTTCAGCAAAAAGAAGACAACAATGAAGTAGTGAGGCCATTTAGTTCCTCAGGAGAAGATACAGGACAATCTTCACTGTGGTGAAATGACCCGAGAGAACTTACTGTATTTTTTCAGCTCCATGGCCAGGGCAAAGTTTGTAGCCTCAGCTATGAGAAACTTCTCCTGGAGCTCCCAGCAGTCCTGTTGGCTCTTTGCCAGCTGGGATCTCAATTGCTGGCATTCGAGGTCATTCAGTTCTGCCTCGGGATCTGAGGCAGGGCTGTGGGATCCTGCCATGCTGATGGTGTGTCACAGCAGGACAACAGGGACTGGGGAGAGGAAACCCAAACACAGGTGAGGGTCAAACAAATGACATCCAAGAGTTTCAGGTAGGCTTGAGGGGTGACAATAACAGTCAAGCTTCACTTACTGATGTGAAACACCTGATCCACTGCCCGACAACACTGGGAAGTTCTTCACTGGACAAACAAGGATAAAACTGCCAAAGCCTAGATTCAAGGCACTGCCTGTAGCTCAGTCTCTGCTAGGACTGGCTGTTGTGTGGCAGCTAACGGTCTGCCGTTGCCATCACAGAATTAGAAGGTGGAGCGTGTCATGGAATCTTTGGAACTCTGCCTTCCAGGGGCCTAAGCTAGGTTGAGGCACAAGACCCCCACTGGTGGGGACAACCTACCCATCTGCCAGTCTCATAGTTATAGATCCTGCACTGATACTACAGACCGTGTCCCCAAATCACCTAAGCATGTATCGCTCATATAGTCATGTATGTGTATGAAAATACCAAGGCAGAAAATGTGTCCCAACAAGCCTTCCTTTCTCAGGGCTGTTAGGAAGTCACCCCACCTGCTGTTTAAAGAGATCTCAAGGCTTTTCTACCTGTTTGAAATGCTGAATTTTAAGCTTCCCTGATAAATGGGTCATTTTATTATCTTAGAAAGGAATTTTGAGAGTTCTTTTAGTTTTCTGGATAGAACTGTTATATTAGGTATGCAATTTCAAAAAGTTTCTCCCTATGTTGGCCTGTATATTCATCTTCTTATCAATGACTTTGAACAGAAAATTTGAACATATTAATTTGAACATATTTGAACATATGGAAATGAAAATGTTCTTTGTTTAATTATACTTATTTGAGATGTAAAGATGAAGATGTAGAGACATACACACAGAGAAACACAACCAAAACTATGTGTTACATTACTATTTCACTCCCCAAAAGCATGCAACAGTCAGGCTTGGCCAGGGTGACACTTGGTGTGCAGAACTCCAATTTGTTCTGCAAATGTATGGGAAGAACCTAATGCTTTTAATAATATATTTATATATAATTACTGCAACTAATTTTATAATGATGGCAAACTTATTTTGAGGAATATGGGTGTTACATATTTGAAGTGGTTTTTTAAATTAACTTCTTATTTAATGTTGTATCTATGGCATAAATGCAATGTTAAGAACATAGTCCTTCTTCCCACCTACCTGCCCTCCCACCTATTCTCCCCCTCTTCCTCCTCCAACTCTCCTGTTTAGTCTGAGAAAGAAAAAAAGACAGAATGGAACAAGAAAACTAAGAGAACTGTTACTCAGCAGCCTAGCAAAGGGCTGTCCAAGGTTACTGCTTCTCAAAGGGGATTTCACTTTTTGCCCCCTTCTGCTATTCCCTTCCTCTTCTCCCTTCTTTCCTTTTAGAAACTTAATTGTCTTCAAAGAAGAACCCACGGATGATACATCTGCTGTGAGCTCTTAGACAGAACTATAACCTATGAGACATAAGAATATCCTCCATTTAATGCACTAAAAGGAAGTGATTCTGGAGAACAGTTCTACTATGAAGTCCCTTGATATAGCTTTGAGGACAGAGGGCAGTGCACAGTGGCTCTCACTGTGTCTTTAACAAATCACACTCTTATGTCTGACCTCAGTGCTCACCCAGGGCGCTTGACATGAGCTGCCTCAGCTACAGAAGCCTTCTGGATCCACCTAGCTCGACAAGGCCATAAGCAAAGAGGAAGTTCTCTCCTCCCTTCAGGGAATGTGCATCCTCCTTTAGTAACCACTTCTTTCCACTTTCAGTTTCACCCACAGGCATCCTATATGTAGGGCCTATATGTGAGCATTGCAAAAGCCACTTAACTGCTGAATGAAATGCCAGTCCCAAAAGCTGCACATTTTAAGGTTTCCATTTGAGTGGATGATCAAAACTGTTTTTTTTTTTTTTTTTGAAATTTTAAATTCTGATGTCTAAATAGATGTAGGAGTCTCCACTGTGGCATAGTGGGGTAAGCCACCACTTGAGACACTGGTCTCCTCTATGAGTGCTGGTGGAGTCCCAGCGGCTCCACTTTCAGCTGATCCAGCTCCCTGTTGAGGTGCCAGGGAAAGCAGTGGAACATGGCTTATGTCCTTGGCCCTTGAGCTCTTGTGAGATACCCAGATGGCATTTTGGGCTCCTGGCTTTGGCCTGGCTCAGCCCTGGTTGTTGTAGGCACTTGGGGAGTGAAACAGAAGATGCAAGGTCTCTCCCTCTCAGTGTGTGTGTGTTCCTCTCTGTCTGTAACTCTGCTTTTCAAATAGAATAATACATCTTTTAAAATAATTATTAAAATATTCAAAAATGATATTGTAATGTACATATCCATAGTGTAATGATTCCTCTAGACTAGTAAATAAAATATTCATCATCTCACAGTTAACCTTTATGTGCCTGCACATGGTAAGAACCCACAAAATCTACTGTTAGAAAATTCTCAGACTTTCTCATTCTAATGGAGAATAGCATGCTCCACTAATAACTCAGATTCTCATGCTTAACTTCAGAACCCTAGATTTAGTTCTTCTCTATAACTACCACTTTGTACTCTTGGGTCAACATTTCTCTATTCTTCCCACCAGACTGCACCACCTTGAAGACTTCTCTTATATTCTCTGTTTTGACATATTCAACAATTTTCCATTTTTTCTTTCAGACTCCACACATAACAGACTTCATGCAGTGTTATTATTTCTATATCTCATTTATTTCACTCACCATAATGTCCTCCAATTTCATCCAGTTTCTCACAAATGACAGGAGTTCCTTTATCTTTGAGTTGAACAGCATTCCATCATATAAATATATATTTAAGCATCATCATACATCTATCATGTATAATGTATTGTTACACATTATATGTATATAAATATCTATACACAGACATGTTAAGAATGATTCAAAATCTTCAAGTGATTCCAAAGTGTCATGGAAATTCTGTAGTATCCTTTTATTAAAATATACTTTTCAAGCCATATATATGGACAGCAAGATTGCTTAACCAACCTTCTGTTGATGGACATTTAGGCAGTTTGCATCTTGGCCTCTGTGAATAAGGCATCGACTAGGGATTGCAGGTATATATCTGATATGGTTTTTTGTTTCTTCTTTTTTTGCACATATACCAATAAGGAGGATGAATGGGTCATTTGACAGTTCTAGTTTAACATTTCAAAAATACTTCAATAATGTTTTCTATAATGGCCATACCACTCAACATTCTCACACAAATGTAAAAGTGTTTCCTTTTTGGTACACCCTTGCCCACATTTATTCTCTCTTGTCTTTGTGAAAGCAGCTGACCCTATGGTTCTGAGGGGATATCCCTCTGTGGTTTGGAATGGTGTTTCCCTGATGAGTACTGATAATGGGCAACTTGTCATAAACCTGGTAGCAATGCATATTCCTTTCATGGAGTAATGTCTACTCAGGTCCTTTGCCAATTTCTCAGATGAATGATTAATTATTTTGGCTACTGAGTTCTGTGAGTGCTTTCACACTATAGCACAGAGAAAGCAAAAGCCTTGTGAACAATGTACATAGGTCTTGGCCCCATGTGGGGATCATGGGGATCCTTACTTTGGGGCTGTGGAACTGCACCACTGCCATTTTATTGGATTGTGCAGTGTGTTGCATGGCGGAATTGAGCATGGGTGGAAAAATGTACCTAGCTGAAGAGGGCAGGAAGGCTGTGCTTTCTCTCTCTCTCCCTCTTTTTTTTTTTTTTTTTTTTTTTTTTTTTTGGTGGTGACACTGAAGTTACCAGGATCTCTAGCTTGCATGGAAAGCTTGTGTTCAGCATAAACCTGCTCTGATTCCATCCAGGGATCTCCCTGGCCAGGTGCACAGGTTCACTGTGGAGTCAGTTTCTCTCCTGACCTCAGTACTCATGGAAGGTGGCTCCTTCAGGGGCTGGACAGTGGAGTAGGCCTTTCTGAGTATCCCCTGAGGTTTCTGACACAATGTGTCCTTCATCTCACCCACACTTGGTTTCACCCTAACATTACCTTGTCATTCTCTGGGTCATTCTCACGTCCCAGAGAGCTGCTCATCTTCCTTCATCTGCACCTTCAGTTCTGGGTTCTCAGGATGTGGACTCAGTTCCGGATCTGGGAGGAGACACAGGAGGGACTAGGTCAGCTCTCAGCCTCAGTTCCCAGGGCACGTGTGGTTCCCCAGGGACTCAGAGGAACCTAAGCAGCAGGACCTCAGAGAGGAACAATACACACTTTACCTCACTGATGAGGAACCTGGGGTCCATAGAGACTAAGAGGTTTTCTCAGCACCACAGCTGATGGAAGGAGGGCCACCCCATGAGCTTTGACCTCCAGCTTCCCTGTGCCGAGCATGGCTCTTGTCTTCCAAGAATGCATTGTTGGGTTTTGTAGACTTCAGATAAAGCACTGCTATTACTGCTCCTAAAAACAAACAAACAAAGTATGAGGGTCATTCCTTGGACACAGCTTTTCCCACATTTCTATTGTCCCATTATGTATTCTCTGTCTGTTTTCAATCACTGGGTGATAGAATGGGAGCAGAGAATACATAAGGTGAATGAGTATTTAACACAGCCCTGCCTGTCCTGTGTGGTCCCTTACCTCTGGAATTCTCCCTCAGGTTTTCTCCTCTGCTGCAATGGTGGAGACTGTCAGACCTCATGGAGGTCATTTCTGTATGGAGATCCATGTTCTTCTTTTTGTCTCCTGGAGTCAGGGAGAGTAGAGATTCATTCTGGACCTCTGTGGACCCAGCTTTTCTGCGAGGCAATGCTGCTAGTTTCAAAGATAAAAAATTAAAAACAACAATGACCAACAGAAATCAGGTCAATAAAGATTTTCCTGATGTGCCTGAGATCGTGAGAACAGCCCCTGGTAGAATGTGGTCAGAGCCAAGCACGGGGCATTGGCAGACTGACTCAGGTAAGGTGTATGTGCAAAACAACCAAGAGAAGGCTGCTAACACCAGGAAGAAGACACACATCAGAGGAGTGTGAGAAGAAAAGACAAGTACTGGTTCAAATGAAGAAGGAAGTATCACAGGCTGAGACCCAGAGGCAAGGCCCCACATCACAGAGGATTAGTCCTCAGCCTTGAAACCTATCCCAGGAAGTCCTGTTGGATTTGCCCATCTCAACTTGAAAACTTTTGGATTCATGACTTCCTTGTAGGCTCCATTTTTGCCCTTGCTGAATTAGAGTCACTGTCATTGTCACCCTATGTCCCCTGCACATGGGGCAGATAAGCAGTGTGTTTAATGTCAGAATAGCACAGATGGAATGGATCACACACAGCATCCACACATAACAAACACCTCCAACTCATTCACATCCCCCTTCATGACCCAGGGAAATCCCACATTCCTGCTGTGAGGCCTCCACCTGACAGGGGAAGTGTTTCCATTCCTTATGTGTTCTGGATTAGTAATTCTTTATTAGCTACACAGTGTGGAATTCCAAAATCAATGGCCTTATTATATACTCAACCATCATGATGAGAATTGGTAAGTGCTATCTAATTCTATACAGATACAAAAAATTAAATACCTTGTGATAAGTTCAACCAGCATGTGAAAGTCCTCTTCAATGAAATTCAAACACATTGAATCTAATGAAAGAAAATGAAGCAGACACAAAATAATGGAATTCCCTCATATATTCTTGATTTGGAAGAATTAATATTATTAAAATATCAAAACTACCCAAAACAATTTAGAGATTCAATGTAGTCTCCATCAAAATACTGATGACATCCTCACAGAATAAGAAAAAAATCTTAAAATTCTTATGAAAACACAAAGGCTCTGAATACTCAAAATATTCTTAACACAATGAAGCCAAAGATGGAGGCACCACAGTTCAAAATTAAAGATATGCCACAAGGCTATTGAGACCAAAACAGTATGGTAGCAACATAGCAATAGACACATAGGACAATGGAAAAAAAGAGAACCCCTAGAAATTCACACACCTACATCCCTACACTTACTTTTGACAAAGATGTGGAAAACATTCCCTGGAGATATGCACATCTATTTTAATGGGACTGGGAAAATAGATTTTAATTTACAAAAATCAACTCAAAATGGATCATGATCTAAATGTAAGATCTGAAACTATGAAACTAACAGAAGAAAACAAGGAGCAAATGCTCTAAGAAATGGGCAGAGTCAACACAGTTTTTGGGCTAAGACCACAAGAACATGGACAATAAAAACCAATTGGAAAAATCTGATGTTATCAATCCAACAAATTTCTGCACAGGTAGAAATATTTTACCAGTTGGGTAAGTGCACCTGATGTTGTGACATCCAAAGAACTGAGGAATTTTCCTCCTTTGTTATACAGGGACATCATTTGGCCATTTGGAGAATGTGCTTCCCCTGTGAGTCACTCTGGTGCTAAGATCTGTCATTGATATTCAGTTTGATTCCTGGGTGACACAGCAGGACCAAAGAACACTGAAAGGATCAAGTAGTGATTGCAGTCAGACACAGAATGAGTTTCTGTGACCACCTCTAGACCATCAGGCACCTATGCCAGAAAAGGGTCTTCCTGAGACAGGAGCACTGTCTGCCTTGTGCAGTTCCTATCCCCAGAGCCTCTGCAAGTGACTTGGAATAAGGAGTCACTGCCACTATCAAGACACATGACAGAAAACCCACTGGAAAAAGAACATAGGGTACTCACAACAAAATGATGAAATTTCTAAAAATCAAGTTCTTACCCATCCCTTATCCATAATAACTGTGAATGTCCACAGACAACATTACCCAGTTACGAGATACAGACAGGATGACTGGATGAAAACCAAGACCCAACCACAAGTTGCCTACAAGAAACACACTAGTAAAGACAGAGACTGAAAGGGAAAGGATGGGAAAAGATGCTTCATGCTAATGGATATCAGATGTGAACAAGAGTACCTATGGTTGGATCAGATAAAATAGGTTTGATGATAAAAACTGAAACAGAGATGACGGTTGCTATATGATTATCAAGGGTTTGATCCAACAAGAAGATGTGACAATGGTAAGTGCATACGAATCCATTGCTGCAGCACACTAATTTATAAAACAAAATTATTACATCTAAAGGACACATGAATTCTAATGTAGTAATAGTGGGGGACTTCAACACTCACCTTTCTTCGACAGGAAGAGATCACCTGGAAAAAAATTAACAAGCATCAGAGAGAAACTACTACAGACCAAATGGCCATAACAGATGACTACAGATATTTCACTCCACAGCTGCAGAATACACATTCTTTTCATCTGCACATGGAACATGGATGCTATAATACTAGAAATCAACAATCACAAGAACCCCCAAAGGTATGCAAATACATAAAGGCTGGATAAGAAACCAAGAGGGAAATTTTAAAATTCCATGAAACTAATTAAAATGGAAGCACAACACACTGAATCTACAGGAAATTCTAAAAGTAGTATGCAGAGGAAAGGTTATGGGATTAAGTTCCTACATCAAATAATTAGAAAGACTTCCAATAACCTAACAAAGTATCTCAAAAATCCTAGTAAAACAGGAGCAGACCAATCCCAAGTCAGTGGAAAGAAAGAATAAGGAAGCAGGCAGAAAGAAAGGAAAGAGCGACAAAGAAATGAGGGCCTCACACACAAAATCCAGAACACTGCAGGAACCCAACACGCAGTGTCGTCCACCGTGCAAGACTCGTGTGCTCACACTGCTGTTGTCTGATTATCTCAGAACAGAGCAGTCATCCAATACAAGAGAACACAGACCATCCCATTGATCGCAGCCTTTCCAGGCCTATTGAGTGTAATCTGAGTTGATAAAATCTCACAATAAAGAGTTAAGTGCTGGTAAAAGTTAACAGAAGGTAACAGGGGCTGTCTAGTTTCTGCAAGGGGGTATAGAAAAGAACATTCTCATCAGTGGCTGCGAATGTGAATGGGAAAATCTTCTTGCCAGGCAATGGGGCCAGAACAGCACCATCAGGAATGTACCAGAACTTTGATCTTACAATTCCCTTTACAGGATACAACCTGGAGAAGCATCTTCACAATTAATAAGGGACATACCAAATATATGTAGATGATGCTCCTTGAGACATTATTAATAATACTAAACATTTAAATCATTTGAGGAACATTAACTTATGTGAGTAGAATGGTCCATCACACCATGAACAGTTATCCCTGTGTCTAAGACAAGGAAGAAGAGTCTGAAAGAGCAGAGGGTGATGAACTCGTAAGAACTAATGTGACTGAGCAGTTACTGTGTGCTAGACACAGACAGGCCTCAATGCTTTGCCCCCACATCTCATTAAAATGTTTGCCAAGCCATGTAGAAAGTACTCCTACTTGTCCATTTCTTAGTGTCTTCTCTACCATGACTATTATGAAACACCAGTGAAAGAACCTGAAGCAGACACAAACACTAGAAAGACATCCATGTCCACGGATTACAAGAATTAACATGATGAAAATGTCTACTCTATCCAATGCAATTTACAAATTCAAGGCAATCCCACACCAAAATATGAAGCACATTATTCATATGACCAGAAGAAGCACCTAAGAATTTATGTGGAAAAAGCACAAAAGACACAGGTGTTGTTTTCACCCTATTGGAGGAGGGATCCTTCCCACACATCCCTGCAATCTCATTAATGTGAGCACGGGGTTCAGGCAGGATTTTTCCACATCTGATTTAAAGTAGAAGGAGATGGGGCCCGGCTGTG